CCGACTTTGCCAGGTTATCGTCACAAGATTATAAAGCGTGTGTGTGTGTGTGTGTGTGTGTGTGTGTGTGTGTGTGTGTGTGTGACATTGAGAAGAACGTAAACTCTATTGCAGGGTTAGCTGTGTCTTTTCAGATATCACTTACTGATAGCCTCTTGGTAAAATGCTTGTTCATCTTCTGTCCATTTTTCTTTTGGATTCTTGGCCTTCTGATTTATTTTTAGGAGTTTATTTCTTATTCTGGATGGAAGTCTTTTGTCAGACCTCATATCTCGCTGACTCAGGAAAAACCTCAGTTTATTATTCTGTAAAACTAGGAGAAAAATATGGTTGGTATAAAGATTAAACTAGACGAAAGAAATCATCCTTGTTATAGAGCACTGCACAAATATGAATTTACATTATCCAGTGATTTTCTCTGCAAACAAGACCTTAGACATGGTGAGAGCTATTGTAGTGTGTTTGTTTTTCTCAGCAGCTACACAAAAGCAAAGGGAAAAAAAACGTGATGGGAGCTCTGAAAATAATGTTGAACGACACTGCCCGATAACTTCCAAGAGAATAATTGCTTTAGAAATGCAAGACAGCGCACTGCATCATCGCAACAGTTGTACTCTAAACTACATGCATGATGATTCAGAGAGATTGGTTTTAAAAAGCATGCTCACTTAAATAAAAGTGTTCTCTTACCTGAAGTGCTCAGATTTAAAAAAAAAAAATGGGGAGGGTTAGGGTTTAGGCGCTTGGCCACACTGGCCTCCTGTGATTCCATGGTGGACTGTGGATCCCGCCTCTTCCTGGTAGTCCCAGAGGCAGAAGAAAGCATAGTCGTGCAGGAGAGCTGTGTGTGCCAGCAACCACTCAGCAACAGCCACTGGCACTGAGTGACATTTCACAGATTGTAGGGTGCTACCCCATGTCCCACCTGCTCTAGGAGGTGGTTAGGGCAGCTGTGATGATCCCCATTCTCATGAAAGAACATTGCAACACACAGAAGCCAAGTGCCTGCTGACTGGGGAGCTGCAGTGGGAGCCCCCGGGGTCTTTTGCCTGAATGGACTCTGCTCCTCTGTGCCCTCCTGCCCAGTGGGGGCAGGGCACGGATAGCTGGGGCGCAGCCTCAGGATCTGTAATTACTGAAACGCATTGGTCCTGTGGTCTGAATGTTTGTGCCCCCCAACATTCATATGTTGCAATCCTGATCCCCAAGGTGATGGCATTAGGAGGCGACTAGGTCATGAGGATGGAGCCCTCATGAATGGGATTGATACCTTTATAAAGAGGCCCCAGAGGCTCCCTGGCCCCTTCCACCAAATGAGGACATAAAGAGAAGGCGGCCATGCCACCCAGGCTATGGTATTTCGTTATGAGAGTCTCAATGGACTAAGACACCGGGTCTGTGCTGCCTGCTAATCACCACCCAGGGTACCTGTGGAATGCTGTTCTTCAGGGGGTGCACCTGGTTATCGATTCAGAGACCCTTGGGCCAGGGTTTGGAAATTTCAGCCCCTCCCCTGAAGGAGTCCCTGCGTCTGACCAATGTGACTCGGCTTGGGAGAGAAGTGACTCTTGAAGGCAGCTTTGTCGGCTGATTCGTGGTTTTAAACAAGCTCAAGCGCTGCCTGAGAGGCTGGTGGCTTTGGCATCAGTGGAAGGTGTTTAGGTCTTGGGGTGAGGAACTGGATTTTGTCCCTAGGTAGAGTCGGGGCAATGGGAATGGAGCCCTGCGTGCCTACCCTGGGTGTCCTTCTGCCTGAGGTCAGAGGGACGCGTGGGAACTACAGTCCCATCTGTAGACTTTCCAAACTCAGGTCTCTGAGTTCACTTCCTGTGTGCATCTCGGCGTACAAACCCTGAAGTGATGAAGTTGAACGCAGAGCTGGAGTCTCACCTGGGGTCCTCAGTGCAGAAGACTCCATCGGGAAGCAGGGGACAGAGCTCAGGTTTAGTGAGGGGGTTGGGGTGGCCTTCTGAGAGACTGGGAAAAGAGAAGAGTATGGGGAGAAGGGGGCGGAGAGACAGGCTCTGGGCCTGCTTTTGGAGCATGCCCAGCAAGGGAAGGTGGTTTTGCTTGTCAGCTGGCCAGTGTCTTGCTGGAGAGGAGGTGGCCCCTGCAGGCCCATCACTGCCAGGGTCCCACAAGATCCCTTTGAGGCATGGGGTTGGGGGATTGGCCAGGAACCATTTTGCAGATGAGGAAACTGAGGCCTGGACACGCTGCCCCCTCACCTGTGGTCACAGGCCAGGGGATTGGGAGACAGTAATGCCTGGCCAGAGCCTTGGCAAACAGGGCTGGTGGGGGCCAAGGGATAAAGGCTTGGGGCTGGGGTGCATGTGGCAGGCGTGAGGGATCCATGTACTGTGGTGTTATAAGTTCAGAAAGTGTAAAAAGAACCCCACCCCTTGTCACTCTGCTTGAAGTCTGTTTCTCCATCATCTTCCCGAAGGGGCTGTGTTCCTTCTCTCCATGACCCTTGTCACTATAGTTATAGGTGTGTTATTATTGTACTGTGAGAGCCTACCCCCACCCCCAACACACACACATTCCATTAGTGCAGGAACAATGTTAAGTTCCCAGTGTACATGTCAGACCTGAAACAGGAAATGCTTCCTAAATAATTGTTGAATGAATGAATGAATGAATGAATGAAAACTTGGCTGGACAATGGCTCGTAGAAAGGGCTCGTGCACTGCACTAAGGTCTTGATGCTTTGTGCAGTACAGCTGGTGCATTTGGAGGAGAGTGATCCGATCATACTGGTGGTCAGAAGCCCTGCCTGGAGATAAGTGGAGGAAGAGAGAGAGAGAGAGAGGGAGAGAGAGAGAGCGTGTGTGGATGGAAGGCTGCATGCTGGGGGAGGGCAGGAGCAGAGGGACCTTGTCACTGCAGATTGAGAGAGCTGAGTGAGACACTCAGCCAGTGTGTGCCCTGGGCTGGGGTGGGGAGGGAGGAGATCCATCCAGAGAGTGCAGATGGCAGCCCCTTGACTGATTCCGCAGGCTCTCCTATCCCTCTGGAGTCTCCCCAACCTGGCATCACTGCGTTCTCAGGTGGTGGCTGGCTGCTTCTTATTGATTACAGTTTCAAATGCTGTACTTGGTCCCAAGCTGCCACACACTACCGAAATTCAGTGTCCCTCTAATGAGGTTTCTGTGAGAATGTTGGAAAGAAGAAAGCCTTTTAATTAGATTGGTAGTGAATGAGCTCTCAAAGCACAGAAGCCTTTCTCTCAGAAGATGAAGACACAAATGCAATTAAAAGAAGGAAAGGTACCTGAATGGAACCCTTGCTAATTTTAAGCCCATTAAAAACAACAACTCCTTAATAAGTTGAGGTAACAGATACGTGTCCTGAAGCATTTAACAGTGCTTCCCAATAATGGTGGAGTTTGAACTGGAACAAGAGTACTCCTGCAATTTAAATGAATGGCTCTATTGGGGATAGTTTGCTCAGTACAGAGTGCAGAGAAATGTTAGCTCTACAACTTTTTCCATTGAAAAGATCCTGGCATGTTTTATTTGGAAAATGGAGTGTATTTTTCAAGTAACCAAATTGGCAGCTTCTTCCGGACATAGCCCCTGGCCTGGGGCCCCAGGGAACTTCGCTCCCTGTCCCTCCCCAGGCAGCTCAATCCTCTCTGTGGTCCTTGCCCCACCTGGCCTACCTCGCCCCCAAAGGTGTCCAGCATGTGGGCAGCTGGGCTGGGACCTTGATGCATCAAAGTGTCTCCCTGCCAGCAACTTGCACGTCCATCATGGTTTTATTTTAACAAGAGGCAGCATTCGTTTCTCATTCGCTTGGCAGCATACTGACCACGCCCCGGCAGATGCCATGTTCTTTCTGTCTTTGGGTCTTTTTTTGGAGACTGCCCATCAGTAAACCAGGCCAAGTAGGGGCTCAAGGTCCCAGGTTCTGGGCGACTCTTCACAGGGGCATTAATATTTTCCCTGGAGAGGGTGCCAACTGCTGCTTTACAGAGTCCTTGAGGTTGGAATTGAGTATTAAGTACTGAATGGCAACATTCTCAGTATAATTATTGCACAAGTCTCACTCATTTGTCTCCTTGCATGTTGGCTTTTGCTAGGCCCTATTAAGCGTGGCCAACTGTGATGAAATGCTAGTTGCGTCCCACTTGGAAAGGCCGATTTTGAGTAGACTGCTTTAGATGTCCTCTGTCCAGACTAACAAAGCCACAGAGGGTAAGGCTATCCTGAGCTCCCTGGTTAGCACGTGGATGTGGCGCCCTGCTGGCTCCTGAACCCAGATATGTGATTTGGAAATGTGGAAAAATGGCCTCTGGAGTCAGAAAGATCCAAGTTTGAAAGGCTCCTTAGTAAAGTCACTTCGCCTTTCTGACCCTTAGTTTACTCAGCTGGTTAGGATTTACCTTCAAGTGTATTTCAAGAGCCTGACGTGCTACCCGGTAGGCAGAGGATGGGAGAAAAGACAGCTCAGACCTGCAGGGACAAGGCTGGAGTACGGCCCGTACAGCACCATCAGCCCAGGGCCAGGCAGCTGGACACAGGGCCATTGCCCCTTTCCTGGGGGAGGGAAGCACAAAGTGTTTGTATTTGTTTAAAAGTATAAACATTCTGGTAATAAACCTGACTTTGAAAAATTGGAATTTGCACCCAGTTTTATGCTTTTGTAACATATATAAATTATAAAAAATGCAAAGATAAATAGCTAAATCATTAGCGGGCATCATTTCTGGATGGCAGTGTTTCAGGGTTTAAATTTTTTTCTTTATACTTTTCCATCTTTTGTAAGCACTCTATGATAAATGTGTCTTACTTCAGAATATATGGAAGAGCTTAACTCTGGGGAAATGCTGCCTGCATATGTTACAAGAGCTTGGTGCTTTCTAATTTCCACACACAACGATCAGATCCCAGCTGTCATAGCCCCACATGAATAATTGTCTCATTCTTTCTGTTGTAAACCTATACACCATATTATACTGCTGTTTTTCTTTTTTTGTTGTTGTTGTCTTTTTTAAGGATGAGAAGAACCAAGTTTTAACCACCAATATTTGGCTGCAGATGGTAAGTGAAGACAGTGGCAGTCCTTGCCCATGGGTCCACCTGCCCTTGCTTCCAAGCTGCTTGTCCTGGATTTGCAGGGAAAACGGAGGAGGTCCCATGAGAAAAGCCAGAGCTGTGACCCTGACTCCCCACCTGCTAACGATGAATGCTGGGTGTATTGCACTGCAGTCTTCAGGGTAAATGCATGCTTGTGTTGTATGAGAGGGTGATTTGGGGACATTTCAAAACCACTTCGGGCAAGACAAGTAGGAAGATGCAGGGCTGCATTTAGATGTGCCATAGCCACAACCTGCCCCATACCAGTCAGTCCCCAGGGCTCAGGAGCTCCTGCCCTGCTCTCTGTACCCTCCAGAGCTGCATGTTTGAATCACATGGAGCATTCTTAAGCCAGTGGTCTTCACACTTTGTGCTCTACTGATGCCTGCAAGAATCTTAATGCTGTGTTTTTCATTTGTGGATTTTTAACTTGACATCTAGAGTGCTAACCTAAACTTAATTAATTGAAAGTGATATTACTTTCATTCAGTTGTAAATATCAATATTAAAAAAAATCAAACTGTCAGTGTCTATTTTAAGTGGAATCTAAATACCATAATATTAATAACTCGATGTCCCTGTCATTCAAATACCATATGAACAAGCCCTTCCTTAAAATGTGGGATATTTTACAGAGTCCCTTTTTCTCTTTTCACCTGCATTTTTATTCCACTCCGCTTAAAGATCTTACCCTCATGTAATACAATTTTATGTTTGAAGGTCTTTTATTAATCACAATGTGTTGGTTTTTCTCTAATGTAAATATTTGCACAAAAATTATTCTTTTATATCACAGGTATTAAAAATTTCTTCTGGATTGATTTATGATTGCTATTATTATTGGTACATAATTCATCAAGGTGACATAAATTATAAATTTTAATAAACAGTTATTAAACATAAATTTTTTATTGGAAATTCATTTCTTTGCCAAAGGTGAGATTTTGTTTTAAATTAATTTATGTATCCACAGATAACTCTTTTATTACTAGACATGAGAGAATGATATAGTTCTCACCATCATTCTATAAATTTTTTTTTTAGACAGAGTCTTGCTTTATCACCCTGGGTAGGGTGCAGTGGCGTCATCATAGCTCACTGAAACCTCAAACTCCTGGGCTCAAGAGATCCTCTTGCCTCAGCCTCCTGAGTAGCTGGGACTACAGGCATGCACCACCACGGCTGGCTAATTTTTCTATTTTTAGTAGAGGCTGGGTCTCACTCTTGCTCAGGTTGGTCTTGTACTCCTGAGCTCAAGGGATCCTCCTGCCTAGGTCTCCCAGAGTGCTGGGATTACAGGCATGAGACACTGCGGATAGGTGTTTTTTTAATAGTAGCATGGGTAGTTGGTAATGAAAGGCATTTCGTTAAAGCAGTGTTATTCAATTCTTGGAGCTTCTTCTTGATCATATGGCAAAAATAATGTAGTTTTCATCAGATGTATCAGCTGACAACTTGATTAGCTTCTCCTTCAATTTTGTTGAAAGCAAAAAATTTAAAGAATTAAAACTCAGCTGACCTTTGAAAGCATTTGCCACCCAATTTGTAAGGTGATTCACACACTGATGATTTGAATGGACCCTTTGTTTGGTTCTTGGGTCAGTATGCCAAGGTAAGAGTCAAGGTAAGATAAGACAAATATGCCCTTCTTGGTAAAGTGGAATGGGAGGAGTAAAAGAGCAAAGGATAGTACCAGGTGGGTGATTCTTGAGCAGGTGAGTTTTCCTGGGAATACTTGTGGAGTCCACGGATAGAACATGCATCTGCTTGAAGCCATCTGCCAAGTGTCCCCGGGGAACACTTAGCCGTGTGTGAGATGGGTTACAGAACCTTCCCGTAATGGGTGAGGTGGAACCTTGGGAGTTTCCTCTGCAGGATTTGAAGCACGAGCTTCAGTGAGCACGTGCCTCCCCCTCACCTGTGCCACCTTCGCCAGCTTCCCTTCTCTGCCTCAGGGACACACTCCGTGCTCCCCTGGAAGGCCAGCCCTTCCTCCCCTCCAGTGGACAGGCTGTGTCCTGGCACCTGCTGCAAGCCTCCCTTTAACAACTGTCCCCATGGCCTCTAGCATCTAAATAGTGTCTGTGGGTCTTTTGCATTCTTGCCCCTCCCATAGTCTTTTTCTTCTGGATAAATGGTAACATCATATATCTGTGTGCTCAGACCAGAAACCTCAGAGTCACTCTTAACTCTTGTCTTTCACCTCTCACATCTGATACATCAGCAAATTCTGGCAGCTTGACCCACAGAGCAGATCCAGGATCTAACCACTTGGCTTCACCCCAATGCTTCCACCCTGGTCTAAACCAGCATCATCTCTCCATTCCCTTATTACAATCTCCTAGCCAGTCTTCTGCCTCAGCCCTGCCTCCCAGATGGTCTGTTCTCCACATAGCAGCCAGGTGGTCCTAGTGAGATGAAAGGAAAGTTCAGCCACATGCTTCCTTGGTGCAGATCCCTCCTGCCTCCCTGGGCAGCACGGGAGCTGAGGTCCTTGCAGTGGCCTTCAGTTCCCTCCCTGCCTGGCCTGCCTTCCTCTCCCATCCTTGCTGTGCTCACTGTCCTCTTGATGTTATGTGATGCACATGTCACCTGAGCACGTACCCACCTCAGGACCTTTACACTTGCTGCTCCCCTGCCTGGAAGGCTCTTTTCCCAAGAACCACTTGATTTGTTCCCTAACTTCTTACTTACTCTGTTCCTGTAGATCTTCTATTCTTTTCAGTGACGCTTCCCTGAGCTAACTGTCCCAAACCCTCCCCTCGTGCCTCCAGCCTTCTCTGTTCCCTTTATCCTGCTATATTTTTGTCCCAAAGCACTTCCCACCTGACCTATTTTGTGTTCACTCATCTATCTGTTCATGGGCTGGGTCTCTCTCCCCCACTAGAACATGTGCACGAGGAGGGCAAGGCTGTGGGGTGGGGGGTTTGCTCACTGCTGTGCCCCCAGCTCCTAGCCTACTGCCTCACCTGGAGCAGCCATGAATAAGTTTTGTTGAATGCGTGAATGAAACAAAAACTCAAGTTAAACCTAGGATGGGCTTAGGTAGTATGACACAAAGTAAAGCCAGCTCCTAAACAGCGGTGGGACAGTGTAGTACTGAGTAAGGTAAAGCTCTGGGAAATCCCGGACTGATGCAGATGTTTCCCTTTTTACTTAGAACTAGATACTTCCCTGTCCTCCAAGGAATACAGCTGCTGTTGACATTTTTCTTACAGAGAGAAACACGTGTGATGGGCAGATCTCGCTCCCTGGTGCCTGCCCGCCTTAGCCCTCAATAAGCCGTTGGTCTTCAGCAATGCATATGATTTGGCAATTTTTTTTCTAAAAGGTGTTGGTTCCCAGGAAAAATGTAACTGGATTATTACTTCTGTGTTGAGTTCAGATGTTGCTAAATAAACATCCTTCCTTTGAGGGATGTCACCAGAGACCTCTAAATCTCTTTCAAGCCCCACTTATTTCTAATTAAGACTTACATTTGCAGAAGCATCTGCAGCCTCACTTGTTTGGAAACTCTTTATCTGATTTACTTATTCAGCTCATTTTTGGGGGCAACCTGCTGTGTAGAGGGCATTGGAGTAGGCCAGGAGAGAGGACCTAGAACTGTATGAGACTCAGCTTTTACTTTTAAGCTATTTACAATCAGGCTGTGTAATTAACACATTAAAAAAGAAGAAGAAGAAAGGTTAAAATAGCAAGACTAAGTAGTCCCCCGGAGATGTTGCAGGAGGCAGGCTGGTGGTCAGACAGTGGAGGGCACGGGAGGGAGAAATCTCTGCTTTGCAGGAACGGAAGAGGAGGAAACGCACAGACTCTTCTGCCTGTGACGATCTGGGAGCACTGGCTTTCTGGGCGTTTCGTCATTAATTAGTACTTATTTTCAGGTGCCTACCATATGAAAACATGCTCATTCCCTTACAGCATATGCCCTTAGAAAGCTGTGCGGTAACGTTTATCTCGAAGGTGGCGCCTGTAGATCATGTAGCAGTCGTAAGACCGTCTCCCAACTGAATTTTTACGGAATCACAAGAATCTTGGGTTTAAAACAAACCTTAACAGTTATCTAATCAGCAGCTGTGCCGCTGTGCCCCCTGCCCTGCCCAGCAGTTCAGTCTGGACGCTCCAGCGTTCCTGTGTGGCCACAGCACGGACACGGGGGCCTCAGGTGTCACCAAGGGCAGCCTTGGAAGCTGCCCTGGGGCCATCTCTCTACCACCATCCATTGATTGCTGTCCTTGTGTTCCCTGGCTGCCGACCAGCCTGGCCTGACCCCGAGTGAGTAATGGACACGCGACAAGTACGGCTCGATATTGAGGGCGCAAGGGCCAGGGTTCTGAGGGACGCAGAGACACGGGCAGGAGGCACACGCAGAGCCCAGGGGACGGCTCTCGGCAGTGGGGTTTTCTCTTCCAGAGTCTCGTGTTGCTAATTCCCGTTCTAAAAATCTGAATCCACACAATTCTTTCTCCAAATTTAAAGAATAATTCTTTAAACTCTGAGGTCAATTTCTATACATTTAAAATGGAAGAGGCAGAAAAGTAAAAATAAAGAAATAAATTCTCTTTGACCTACAGATTATTGGTTCTGTTATTCTTTCTCCCAGTTGCCCTTGGGTTTGTAGGACTTTCAGATTATTCAGATACCCTGAAGGAATAGAACATTGCCAACCTCTCTATTTACCTCTTCTCTTCCTAGGGGGAAGCAGTTGGTGTGTTTTCTCTGCAGATTAGTTTTGACATTTCTGGAGGCTTGTCAGACATAATCTGATTTAATCTGTGACAAGAAATGACAGAAGCCATTTCAGTTTCTGAAACAACATTTGCACCATCCAGAGGCTTATGTTTGCTTTTTAAAAAATCTGTCTTCTCTTACTTTGGAATACTGATCATTCTTCCAGCTTTAGATTTCGTAGCCTTCTATGTCATTCCATGTTATTCTCTGCCTTTAACCTCCTAATTCTAACTGTGGTAATAACAGCATTCACATCATAGAATGTTAGCTTGTAAATCATTTATTTCTAAAATGTTTACCTTTTTAATTGCTGCAGGCATTATCACTTCATCTCTGACACATAGAAATACTACGTTTTCTGCTCAAGATAAGCCAGCCAGTGGCTTGTATAGGGCCATGATAGCATCTCAAAGTTAAGAATGTTGTTTCAATTATTACATCTCACGGGCAGAAAAATGTTTCAGGGGCAAAGGGTAAAAGGAAGCCTGCTTTCCTCCTCTGAGATCAAAAGAGTTGACAGAAGAATTTTCAAAAAATATGCATGTGTGGCATTTTCTAGTATCAAATATTAATACATGATGTCTTTTCTAACACAACTAACTCTCAATAGCAACTGAGTGCTCAACAATTCAATTCAATTCTAACACTTTACCTGGAGTTAGCATTGGGACTGCCCCCATTTCAGACACCAGCTGCAAATGGGGTGCCCAGGCTGCCCACACTTCTGTTCAGCTGCCCACAAATTCAGGGGTTCCCATGCCCCCCCCCCACCCCAAGTCTAATAATTTTCTAGGATGGCACACAGAACTCAGGAAAACACTTCACTTATGTTCACTGGTTTATTCTAAAAGATACAACTCAGGAACAGCCAAATTGAAGCATTGCACAGGGCAAAATATGGGGTGTATAAGAGGGGGCAGGGAACTCCCATGTCCCCTCCCCAGAGCACTGCCCTCCCAGCACCTTCCTGTGTTCACCAAGAGTTTGCATAACCCCATCCCCTGCCTCCTTCGTCCCTCTGAGATAGGAGCGGGGTGGGGCTGAAAGTGCCACTGCCCCTACTTCTCCCTGCCTTGGTCTTTCTGGTGACCAGTCCCTGTCCCCACCCTGAAGCTACCTAGGGGGCACAACCCTAAGTCACCTCATTAGCACAAGGGGTTCTTTATGAATAACAAAAGACACTCATATCATTCAGGGAAGTCCAAGGATTTTAGGAGCTCTGTGCCAGGAAAACCAAATATATTTCTTACTATACCATAAGGTATTTTTTTAAAAGCAAAGCTGTCCCTTTCCCTCCCTCCCGCTCCCCCTCATCTCCCCTCCCCTCCTTTCCCCGACCCTCAGTACTCCCCTGTGCCATGCCTTGTGCATCCACACACTCCGAAAGAGTGTCCTCTAATGGGGCCTGGTGTCAGAGCCAGGGAAGAATTGGGATTCCTGTGGTGCATTTTAGATCAATGGCCCCTTCCTCCCTTGGGTGTCCCCTGACAACCCCACATACTCTTCTCTTGAAGATTTAATGAGAAAGAATCCTGCAGAAATAGGGAGAGGAGGAAAAGCACAGATTCCTCTAAATGTGCGGAGCTGGGACTGTTGGTGTTTCTAGGTTCATTGATGCTGCTTTTCAGGTCCCAGCCTAGGGGAAGCATGCCTTGCTAGGTGCTGTCTGCAAAGACTGTGCCCCATGACCTGTGCCCAAGGGACCCAGGAAGGGAGTGCTTTGAGAGGACAGACAGCCTCTTTCTACATGTTTGTTGTCTAAGGGCCTATTCCACATCCATTCTTGGGAACCCTCCATGGGAGCCTGCGGGTGGGGAACTGGCCTGCCCCAGGACTGGTGAGCTCTAACCAGGCTCCAGGGCTTGTAGCGTGAGGTCCCTGCTTCAGCTCCCAACACCATGTTGGTGCCCACTCTTTTCTGCCTTTGGCTGCAGCTGGGTTATTGCCGTTAGGATTTTGGAAAATGGGGAAATTCTTTTATTTTAAAGCCATCATTTATCACTTGCCTGTCAGGGCCACATGACTTTTATGTGCTACTGTACACATTATTTCATTTCATCCTATGAGGTAGGGTACACACCAGGAAACTGCAGCTCAGAAAGGGTGATTTACCTGCCCAAACTCACACAGCAAGTCTCTGCCAGAGCCTTGATGCAAACAAAGGTTTTTCTGAATCCAAAACTCCCTCTAGCCTCCATCCCACTTTCTTCTCTGCGGGTCAGCTGGCTTTAGAGTAAGGCCAGCTCTAGTAGAGCCCAAACATCTTTTTGTTTGAAGTCAAGTAATGCAATTAAGTTCTGACCCAATGATGAACTAAAAAGATCTAGTTCTCTGAGCCTCAATCTTCTCTCGTACATAAGAATAGTCACTGCACTGAACGTGGGCATACACGGCACATTGAGCAAGCAGCGTGCCCTGCTGGCAGGGGAGAGACACGTAGCTGGGTTTGTGGAGTGCTGGGCAGGCCATGTGCAGCTCTGGTGGTGTGTTAGAAGAGGTCTCGGTTTGACTGCCAAGCACTCCCATTCCCTGCCTCCTTTCCTTCTCTGGACATCATTTCAGCAGATGGGGGCGAAGGGCATGTGCCTATCGTGCCCACCTTCCAGGGCAGCTTATGGAACCCCGTGGCCCTGCTCAGTATGATAATAACGGTGAATGTGACCTGTTCTGAGATAATCAGTGACCAACTGAGAGAAGCATCCCAGAGTGAGATAACAAGATCTTGGCAAAGAAAGCAGAGGTGTTTGGTATGGAAGGGCTTTGTGCCCAGGACAAGGGAGAGAAATGGGGGGAGTGCAGGACTGATGGTGCCAAGATGGAGCAGGCTTCAGCAAGCACGGCTTGGCTGGTACCCAGGAGTTCCTGGAAAACCACTTGGACGAGACCCGCCCTTCCTCAGTGCTCCCCTCCGGGGCCCTCCCCCAGCCACCTCCATCTCACTGGGGACCCCAGCAGGGAAGATCTCAATTCTAAATGCCCCAGATGATACTTCTGCATAGTTTCTATAACACATCCTCATTCCTGGAGGTCTCTGGCTGTAACGTAAGGTTACTCACCTGGATAGCCCCTCTCCTCTCACTTCAGATAGTTCCAGAGCTGGGACGACCTTTCTGGATGCTGCCTGCCCTCCCCAGAGGATGGTCGGATCTCTGGGACATACTCTTGTTGCCAGTGTCAGCAGCTCTAGGCCCACAAGCCCTCGTCTGCAATTCTCGAATTGCAACAGCTCTGAAAATGAATTTTTTTTACCTCCCTTGATTTTGTTTTTGTAACTTTGTATCAGACTCATTTGTTCTAAAATCACATTGAAAGTGACATAAAATTGAGGCATTTATTTATCTCACTTAGTATAAATATGCATGTTTGCCTGCAGAAATAATGACATGTTTGATTATGTGGTACCACCTTGGTCCTAGCTGGGGTTGTTGCATCACATACCTTCCTAAATCTTGGAAAGTCTGAGCTCCAGAGAATGGGTGGTCCCAGTGGGGCTGGATGTAGGACGGGGACCTGATATTGGTATACTTGTAAGGGGTCCTAAGTCCAAAGCCATCAGCTCTGAGGCGCTGGTGGGGTGGTGCTGGTTGCAGGGCAGCTCCAGGTGGGGTCCCACCTGAGCCGTCTCTGCAGAGTTTGTGGGGCCCAGGAAGGGCTGTTGAGCATCTGCTCCTAGGAGGGAGGACCCTGGGCCTGGCCCTGAGCTTGTGTGAATACCTCCTGAGTTCTCAGCTGCGTCCTTATGTCCTGATTCAGTGCTTCATACCAAGACTCAGTGTTTGCATTGTCTGGTTGTGGTGTCAAAAGCATTATCTCTGTAAGAAAATAAGAATTCAATTCTGAAAACATTCCCTTAGAAGTTTCTGAGAGGTTCCTGTGTAGCTGCACAGTATCATTTCATGAAAATAAATATTCTACATTTCTACAGCCTGGTTATTATTCCAATCGAAATAAGTGAATTTATTTTTTCAAAGTTCTCATAGTGAAAACTTTGAAAGCAAAACCGTTATTCATTTGGCTAGAAGTAACCCATCTACTGCAAGAGAAGAAGGCTCCGGGGCATGCAGAGGGTTGGAATTAACTTTGCTGCTACCATCTGAATGTGTTCACGGTGACAGCAGGACCTTAAATTTGATTTTTATGCTCTTCATGGTCATTTTAGAAGGGATTATTTAATTCCCAGTTTCCTTATATTTTATAGCTAGCAATTCAGTTATGTAAATAAATGTCTGGAACTCTTTCTGGCTTTGCACTTACCTAATAATCTCTTACAAGAAACATCAGTAGTCAAGGAAGCAAAGTGCTGCTAATATTGTCTGTGTGTGTCAGTCTTGGACAGATCACTATTTGCAATGGAATATGTCAGAATATCCAGGCGTGACGACTGTTCGTTTCCCAGATGGCCAGATTTGGAAACCAGACATTCTTCTTTATAACAGGTAAGCACATTGGATAAAAGGAAAAATGATTTTATGCTTGTATACATGTAGCAATCAAGCATATTTTAATATTTTACAGAAATACTAGATATGTTATCTATAATTTGAGACTGCTGCTTCCCACATGACTTTGTAGGTGGTCAGTTCTTTGAGAATAAGCTCTGTCCTCCTCTGCCAGTGTCCTCTGGCTTGGCATGCACACAGGCATGCTGCCTAAGATGGCCATATCCGTAGGGTGGTATGCTGTTGACACCTAGGTGCCTAGCATTGTTTCTGTGCATATTGGCACAAGAAGCATTCTTGCACAAGGCGGTACGTTTGCTCCCTGAATGGCAGCAATTGTGATCAACAGCAGAAGGTGCTGGCCCATGGGATGTATAGCTGGAGTCCACAGTTGGGACCCACGTCCTCATTTGAACATTCCCCATTGTGCTTTGGCGAGTTCTGCAGCAAAGGTGGCTGAGTGCGTGAGGACTGTCGTCTCTAGCTGCATGCGGAAGCTCGCACTGCAGGGTGCACACCTGTGTTCTAATAGCCCTTCTCCTAAGGTCAGGAAATGGATTCATTGGTAAACCAAGGCAGCCTGACTTGTAGACCAGATGCCCCAAAGGCAGGTATCTAGGCAGCATAAATTTCTAGAAGCAGTAAAATTCTTTGTTAAACCATGTAGTCATATAAGAGAACCCAGAACATTTCTTCCTAATAAGGTCTCAAATCTGAGAGTAAGCATAATAAAAAAGAAAGTTATTTCCTGATGAGAACTGCTGCCTTTGGTCCTAGCTGGAGGGAGAAGGAAACCCAGGCTTTCCTGATGCAGGGAATGGTGTGACCATCCAACACTTGCCCTCTGGACAAGCTGGCATGTTCATCCTACGTGGCTACTTCCACAAGGCTGGGTGATTCTATATCTTATGTCAACTTTTAACACTTTGTCTTTGCCACTGGTGGCCACATTTCACTTGAATCATTGGGCCTGTCTCTAGACGAATATCCTCTTCTGATTTGCTGCCACTTTTCTGCTGCTTAAATTCGTTGAGCTTTGAAAATGTTTAAAATGGGAGTAAGTGGTCCCCTATTGAGTGGGTGAAGCACATGCATTTCCAGACCAGGACTTTGGGTCCTGTTTTCTAGGGGACTGTATTAGTTTGCTAGGGCTGCTGTAATGAAGTACCAACCGGTTGTCTTAAATAGCAGAAATTTATTCTGTCACACGTCTGGAGGCCAGAAGTCTTAGATCAAGGTGTTGGCGGGGCTGATTCCTTCTGACCCTCTCTCCTTGGCTGGTGCATGGCTGCCTTCACACGAACTTCCCTCTGTGCTTGTCTGTGCCCTAATCTTCCTAGGATGCCAGTCGGATTGGATTAGGGCTCTCCTAATGACCTCATTTTGCTTTAATCACCCCTTTAAAGGCCCTCTCTCCAAATAGAGTCACATTTCAAGGTACTGGGTGTTAGGACTTCAATGTATGAGTCTGAGGAGGACACAATTCAGTCCATAACAGGGGCATCACAGTCGATTGCTTAAGGGCAAAGGGTTAGGGTTGAACGAGTCTGGGTGTAATCCTTAGCCATGATATTTACAGTCTCTGTAATCTTTCAGTCTCAGATATCTCCTTTGCAAAATGCAGCAAGTGCCAACTGCACAGAGTTTGGAAGGATAACTATGCAGATGTACGTGGCATGCTCAGCCTGGCACTTGGCAAAGGGTACACATCCAGTGATGGCGGTTGTGTGTTTACGGGCAGGGTGATGAGGGTTTCTGCTTAGAGTAAGATGGCAAATTAACCATTTAGAAGGAAAAAACCCATGTTTCTCGTAGTTCCCAATTTAGTTTTTTTAAATCTAAAATCAAGAATAAATTTTATAATATGGTGGAATCTTACTAACAAGGCTATATGAGACAGTTTATATGGCTTACATGCAGGATTTTTAACTCCAAAACATAAAATGTTTGATGATTCCACTGCTCTGGCTCATGAAGAGTTACCAGGTTGTAACTGAATTTCAAGGAGCAAAAATAGAGCAGTCTCTGCCTGACAAATGTCACCAGGGACCAGGCCCTCAGGAATACTACCGCCCCCACCCGCATGCCTGACCCAACTGATGGCCCAGAACCTACTTCCTCTTCCCACTCCTCAGTGTGCCTGTAGACCACGTCTACCACACTCCATCGTGGGGCTGCAGAGGCTGCCTCGTTTTCTGCTTTAGTTGGTCTGAGAAAATGTGGGATGTAGGACTTCCTTTCTGAAGTAATTGCTAAACATGGGGCTTGCATGTCCACATGAACACAATGTGGAATAAACAGGTTACAGAGAATATTAAGCCAATAACAGATACGATGTCACTTATTATTGCTGCAGAACAAACTACCCTGGACTTAGCAGCTTAAAGAAAACAACTGATATTATTCCTTATAATGCTGTGGGCTGACCAGGCCCATGTGGCTGTTTGTCTAGTTCACATGACATTGTCAGACTGCAGTGGGCTGGGGGTCACCGCCTGGCATGCCGAGGGGCGCACTCCACCACTCCACGGCAGGGCTAGATCTCAGCCACTCAGCTTCGGCTGTGGACTCTGCAACCTCAGTTTTCCTCCTTGCGTATTTTCTACAAAGACTCCAACTTGGGCCTGGGAGTGCTCTGAGAGGAGGGAAATAGGGGCTGCCAAGTCTCTTAAGGACTGAGTGTGGGGGTCTCAGAACATCTCTTCATCACATTCAGGTGGTCACAGTAGGAAGGGGCCCTGCCTGGAGTCAAAGGAGGGGAAATCAGCCCCACCTTGCTAGGGCACACAGGAAGGGAGGTGAGCCAAGGTGCGCTCTGGGGCAGCTAAGGATCACAGGCGAAGGAAGGACAGTGGTGAAACCATGCCGGTCAGATGAAAGACAGGGGGCGCACAGAAAGACCAGAATGGGCATGCATCATGAAGTCACACTCAGCTAAGTGCACTCTGCAAGGGGGAGTGAGGGAGGACGAGTAGGCAAGAAGACGGAATTTTCAAACACGTGATCTTCTCATCCCCACATCCCTCCAATGCTTGCCTTTGCTTTCTGGCTTCAGTGTAGGGCCTCCAGGTATGTTCAGACCTGCCCACTGTCCCTGCTGCTCTCCAGCCCTTCCTATGCAGGTTATGTACGCGAGCATCCTTCTGGATGAGGAATGACTCCCTCCTGTCATCCTCGTGACCTTGGCTCCATTCAACCCCCAGTCTTCCAGGGAAACCTCCCCGATGCTCCACCAGGTCTAGAACACCTTTCTCAGTCACATAGAAAGGGGTTCCAGTCTTCTGTAGCACTTGGGGTTTGCTGCCTCTTGGGGCACCTAGCAAAGCACTTAGTACATAGCTGTGCAAAGGTGAGGTGGAGAGAGGAAGGGAGGATGCAGGGATTATTAGGAGGGGTTGCAAAGAGGCTGGGTCAGCATAGTATAGGCTGCTAAGAACAGCCAGAGAAGAAAGAAGGGAAAGGAAAGAAATCATATGGACAACCTAGAAAACATAAAACTGTTACTGAGTCCAAAAATTGACGCAGGAAGTAGCAAAAATAGGCTTGACTTTAGCAAGATCCAAACTTACTGATATCTGTTATTGGGGATTTTGAGAGATGTTCAGCTTAATACTTTCTGCCAGCTTCCAGGCACTCAAAATAACACGTTCTGCTCAGTAGACTCATCTGCTGGTTCATTAATGTGTGAATGGAGTAGAGGGGCTCTTCCTAAAGGAGGAGGCTCAATGCCATCATTTTGCATGAGCGACAGTTTTTGAAGGAGCATTGATTCAGCTCAGGTGAAGCCTCACAAACATGTCTGTCTTATTTCTTGCTCTATTCCAGTTTGGTATTGGAGTTGCTAATGGTTTTTGAGATATAGTGAATTTTCTATGCTTTGAAGGGTCTGGGTCACTGCAAAACAGCCACCTTGGCATCATTTCTGCCTTATTTCCTTGATGGATGTGGAACCAGTCGTAGCACTGCCAGCCAGCTGGCTGGGTCACTCTGAGGAGAGGATGGGCGCTGATATTATAAAAGCGTCTCTTCCTGGTGCTGATTCCAGTCATTTTTTCATTGCTTTGTTCTGCTTTACTTTAAGCCTGCAGCTCAAGGATTTTTCTGAACACAATCTTGCCCAAAGTGAGTAGCAATTATGGATAGCTTGTCACGATTTTCCCCTTTGGATGGAATTAAAGGCCTTGCTGGGATCAGCAGTCGGCTTGCAGAAGGAAAGTCCGAATCCCAGCAACTTCTCAGATGTTCCTACACCATGCAGAGGCAGGCGATGCCTCTGCTTCTCTGGGCTGCTCTGTTTTTGAGTTCCTCGGTCGGGAAATTCTGTAGCAATAATGGAAATTTTTTCTTTGATGAAGATATTTAAAGATGTTTTTGTTGGCTCTGAATGTTTGGAACAGCATGGGGCATCAGCCATTTCTTTACACAGACCTTGCAGAGCTACATTTGTACATCTTGAGGCTTATGTCTTTCTTTTACACAGGACCTTGACACTGTGGCTGGCAGCACAGCCTGGGGAGGGGGTGATGAATGCAGGACACACTTGGGTGCAGTGTGACCCAGGCTGGAAGGGCTCATCAATGAGTCTCCAGTGAAACAGAATTTGTTCCTTTGCTAAGTGTCTTTGGTTCCCCCAGAAGTCAGCCCAGGACAAGGATTTCAGAGGAAAGCCAATATAGTGTGCATTAAAGAGCAAAGTAGTGCTGTGGGCACCCGGAAGCTGCCCCTACTGGGGCCCTCTGAGAGAGAGGGTATGGTATGCTTCGGCGCTGTTCTCAGGAAACTGAGGTGCTTATCTGCCAGCTGCCTTCAGTCACTGGCTGCGAGCTGCTTCCAGGTGGTGAGCTCTGCTTGGGGAAGGCAGCTGGCAGGGCCTTGGGCTTGGGGAGGATGATTGTTGGTGTAGTCTCCTCCAGCACTGATGAGCCAAATACTCAAGTTCCAGTTGTTTTCACGTTGGTGTGATTGTAGATCCAATCCTGGCTTCTGACAGGGAGTATAGCAATGTGAGTAGAAGTGACAGTGTCCTAGGACTTGAAGTGGGCTGAGGGTGTTCTTGGCCAGAGCAGAGGAGGCAGGCAGGTAGCACAGGCTGCTGGGCTGAAGAGCCCAGGCCTGCATCTGGCCCCTGCTCTGTGTGGGCTGCAGCGAGTTTATTATGATATCATGCTGGTCCACACGTGGGATGGGATCTTAGGGAGTGACTCTCTTAGATTCAGTGTCGTCATGGTTAATGGCTCCTGAAGTTGTGGTATCCTGGGGCCTAAGGTTGGACTGCTGGTGCTTAAAGTCCCATAATGCAGTCATGGCTGGGCTAGGGGCAGCAGGGGGTGAGGACGGGGATCGCTGAAAGGTCGTCAGTAGTGGCTGTGGTTTGAATATTTGTCTCCTCCAAAACTCATGTTGAAACTTAATCCCAATGTGTCAGTGTTGAGAGGAGGGGACTTTAAGAGGTGACTGGG